TTGCACACGACCTGACCTTGCATACCCTCTCAGCCTTCTGGCTCGCTACGTGGCTCCCGGCAGGCACCGAAAGGTGCACTGGGATGCTGCAAAGAGGGTGTTGCGATACTTGTGCAGTACATCGGGCATGGGGCTCGTGCTTGGAGGACGGGCTCGAGTTGTCCTCACTGGTCACGCAGACGCCTCCTGGGTTGACGACTTGACTACGCAGCGGTCGTCACAGGGTTACACCTTCAGTCTTGGCTCCGGTTCTGTCTCTTGGCGGTCTACCCGTTCTTCTTCTGTTCTCAGTTCCAGTTGTGAGGCTGAGATCTACGCTGGGGCCATGGCTGCACAGGAGCTACGCTGGCTCACTTACCTGCTGACCGACTTGGGAGCGCCTCGTTCTCCTCCAGTTCTGTACGTCGACAACAAGGCCATGCTGGCCTTGTGTCAGGAGCACAGACTGGAGCACAGAACAAAGCACATTGCTCTGCGCTACTTCCTTGCTCGAGAGTTGCAGCAGCGCGGTCAGCTTCGTCTTGCCTACGTGGCCTCTCAGGCCAACACTGCTGATGTTTTCACCAAGGCACTTCAGCCTTGTGATCATCAGCGTTTCTGTACTGTGTTAGGCCTTGTACCCACTGTGCCTCACTTGTTGACTTGACTCTGCTTGTATTGTACTCTATATACTTATACCTGCATGCTTACACTTACTAGGTTGTGTTCACTGTATTGTTTGCTTTCCTTTATATAACTCTGCATGTGAACTGGCCTTGTGGCCCTTTGCTTGTGCTCAGACTGCCTGGTGACTTTGTGATCCACCCTGAGCTTGCTTTACCTTCTTGACTGGTCTTGTGACCCCTTGTTCTCCCCCACTTTGCCTATGGGGGTGTGTCAAACTTATATATGCTATAGTCTGTTTAGGCTGTAGTGGGGTAGTTCTTAGAGGGTACAACACTTTGTGTTTTCTACTTGTACCCATCTCCTTTCTAGTTTCATTCATTCTTCTCGTTAATTCTCACAGGTACCTGATCAAGTCGAGTCAGGCAGCAGTGGCAGAGAACCCACCTGTGGGTGGGGTGCAGTCCGTGCTGCACCTTCAGGACTGTTGTGCTGTGATAGAGCCCCTTATGGAGGTGTGGAGAGGCAGGAGAATTTCGGTTATCACCGAATATCTTCTACCGAATTTGAGAAGGTCCTGTTCCCGACGGTTCCCGAGGTCTGGTACCTTCTAGTAACCTCCGTGTTACCTGCCTTGTATCGTGCCTATTTGTAGCCACTAGGTTGTTCTCAGGATTCATAATCTACTTTTTGAAATCGATCATTCGATCCTTATACTCGGTAATAAGAGCGAGTTTGCACACGAAGGTCTTCAACCTTCAAAACTCAGCCTTTCAAAAACCGCGGGGGCGACGCCGAAAGCACCGATTTGGGTACGTAAAACCAGTTCCGCGTAAATTTAAAGTCCCGCTCAACCCAGTTATCAAACGCGCATGTCAGACATGGAGGGGCAAGGTGACAACTTCTTATAGGAAATCGTCGCACTCCGCGCCGAACAAGAGCAGACTCGCGCGACGCTTCAACGACTCGAGGTGTTGATCGCGAACTAGTCGGCAGTCGCCACAGCAACAGCGAATGCGACAGTGACGGCAGCAACAGCGGCGGCGACACAGACATTTCAACCTGCAGCAGCAACACTAGCTACAGTGAAGCTCTAAGCTGCTCGTCCGAGGCTACCAGAGGCGTTCGATCCGAGCGCGAAGGGAGCCGTCGTCAGGAGATTCATCGCTACACTCAAAATTTATTTCGAGGCCGTTGGATGCACGACCTCGACACACGACGCGATGCGGATTCGGCTCGCAGCGATGTTCTTACGAGGCCCGGCACTGGAGTGGATCTATAACACAAGCGACTCCCTTGAATCAACTGCATCGCCGGATGCCATGTACACGTTGCCCTCTTAGTTCCACGCCTTCGATGGAGTGCAATCGCTCAGGCGCTTCCGACACTCATGCCAAAAGTGTCACGATTTGCCGCAGTAGTGGCACTTGCCCGAACCGTTCGTTGTGTTTCCTTTGCCGCGATGCTTGCTTCCGCCGGAAGATTTCTTTATCGAACCCTTGCTCCACTTGGACTTCTTTCTGGAACTCCCTCCAGTGAACGTGGCGGTCCCCATGCTCTCATTAGAGAATTGTCGGCGACGTGATTCCTCATGGAGAAGCTGACCAACCACCAGTTCTTTTGTCCACGTGTCGTATAGGCCTTCGAGTTTCATGATTCGAATCACCCACTCTTACAAAAGGCCGCATAGCAAGGTTAGAATCCAACCCGTCTCCGTGAAAGTTCCACTGAGGTCCATGAACATTTCTCCAAGTTCCTCCACACAATTCGCATACTTGTGCATCGATTTGCCCTTGCGCCACTTCACTGTGAAGAATGCTTGCCAGTCTAGGATCTTGCCGTCGAGAGTCTTGTTGACGTGGATCGACTCGAGCCGCATCCACGCTTTGTGCGCCGACTCTTCGAGCTTGATGAACGCGCGCACCGAGATCACGAGGTTGATGCTGATGCACGAAATCAATGTTGCAAACGCCTTTTGGTCCCACTTCTTCAATGCCGTGATGTCGCTCGCATTCGTCGTCGGCCCTTTCTCCGTTCCATCAAAGAAACTCCAAAGTCCCCGCTCCATCATGAGCACTTGGAACTTGAACTTCTACTCTGAGTATTGTTGTCCCATGAAAATTGGGACCGCCAACATGTTGAACATTGTTACGGTTGTTGTCCAAGGTTTGCTGGGATTCATGACGACATCCTCTAAACAAGTGCGGGAGGTCTCGCTTGACGTCGGCATGCTTGCTATTAGTTGCGCGCATTGATTCTACCGTCCAGCTATGATACCACTGTTTTAGAGGCTTTCCTCTGATTGCCAGGAACTAGGATTAGCACTAATCAGTAGAGCACTCTGTTGGCTTTCCAACGAGATGTAGGCCACGTCGATCGCCCAAGTATCGAGCGAGATATAGGCGTTACCTTACTAGGTAGTTCTCTTATAACGAAGGATTGGAGCTCTCTGGATATTATGGTTCAAATGTACCACGTACAAGATGATTCCAATATTCACTATGAGTCATGCATACAAAGCGATCAGATTTATAGCAAATGAATAACATCGAACCACTACACTCGCGTCGCGAATTCGTCGCGATCAACGTTTTGGTGGGGGTGAAATTTTGTAGTCGAAATTCACAGAATCGAATGTTCCTTCATCTCGGTTGGAATCTGGTGCCACCACGTGACACCGAACTGTAGGTTTTCCGAACTCAATCTTCAACCCTTCGCGGAACCTGCTAACGGTGAGCACCGAATCAACACAGTTCGGTGGGTTGGGGGCAAAACCGCCCTACCCCCGTTTTCCCTCCAACATCCCTTGTTTTTAACCGTCAAGAGATGTGCCTGGTTGGAGTGTCAACCCTATGCGAGATTTAAAAAGTTGACCCCATTCAACGTGTCATCTCTGGACGCAAAATGATGCAATCCTGAATCTAACCCGTCATCCTTACGCGCCGCTTGTCTTCCACAAGGCATGGGGGTCCCAGAAAGGGGTTGGGTGTGTGGGAGGCCAGCTGAAGGCGACGCGATAGCTGTAGGGTTATCTTGATTCAGTTGGCATTTGGACCTAGAGGAAGGATTGTGATGCGGACAGCTGAAATCATGCGTCTCTTGCAGCGCCGAATAATATTTCAGTTCACCTCGTGCGTCTTGACACGATGCCCATTGGCGTGAATACAAGGAGGAGCAGTGGCGTCGCCCACAGAGCTCAGCCTTACCTCCAATGCGCATATCACATCGTGAATTCCCCATAAATCCTCACCACATGTCACATCTCACCACGTGTGCGCTTGCGGCACCTCGTGCCATGATGAGCACTGGTTACTTCCCTAGAAGAATATGTCTAAGAAAAACATTATCAAGGTTTCACCATGTGCATTACCCCATCGTTTTGAGCCTAGTCTTGCGCTCGCCTCTTGCCTGAGCCGACTATATCGATTTCGTATGCGGAATATGTTCCTAATCCTCTCCTACTCACTCTCCCGCTACCCCAACCCCAGAATGAACAAAAGATTGGTCTCGTTTTTGTGTGTTTCATGTTTTGTTTGTTTGTTTGTTTGTTTTTTTTTTTCATGGAAATGTCTAAAATTTTCTGCATATATTGATACTACTTAATTTAGCAAGTACTTGTTACGATAGAATGATCCATCGTTGTGGTAAGACTTGATAGTGTGAATCAAGCGCAGTTTGCTGCCTGTGTCAATCATTGAGTATCGCAATACCCCAGTTGCCTACCTAAGACGTTTGCACCCTGTTTTTGCATCCTCGCTTGCGCTCGACCACTACTTCACATACGCCAAGTCCCTCATGCATCCTCTCTCTTTTGTATGGAACATCAGCAAGAGCCTTCCATACCACTCCATTTCTACACCTCTTGTCATTTCTCCCTTGATGGCAACATCAAGACCCACAGCCTAGAGTGAGACAAGGGGGTTGCTTTCACGAAATGAGCGACACGAGCGAAACTAGCATCTTCTGCAGCAGGGATGGCTAGTGTTGTGTGAGCCTGCATCGTTTGCGAGACACGAATCAGTACAAAGTACAATTGATTTGCATGTGGAAATTGAGGTAGACAATCACTGAACAACTTACATGAAATTTTGTTGGATTCAGGTGGTGTCCAAGCAATGCATCCTCGAAGGCATGGTGTGCCTCGCTGTGGTGCTCCGCCCACTCACAGACAAACCAGTTGGCGTAAGGAGGGACATCAGCAGGTGTCACGAGGAAGAAGTAGGACTCCACCATCAGCCGAGCTCCATCCTCGATGGCCTGACACGGGCCAAACAATGTTGAGATAGGAGAGATTATGTAAATGCGCAGCAACCAGCAGTAACCATCACCCTTCTCTCGCCCTTCCCCTGCTACCCTCCACGCCATACACTCCGCCTTTTGCTTCTCCCTCTCGTGCCTTACTCTAACTCTTCCCCTGGTAGCCCCCTATGACCTGCCAGCAAACATTCCTTGCCACCCCTCCCGAGCAGCCCCGCTCCCAGCATCTCCCCTCTAAGCCCTCCCCGCCAAGCACTCCTTCTCCCAGCACTCCCCATACCAGCACCTCTTCTCACAGCACTCACCATCCCAGCACCTCCCCTCATAGCACTCCCCATCCCAGCACCTCCCTCCAAGCACTCACCATCCCATCACTCCCCTCACAGCACTCACCATCCCAGCACCTCCCCTCACAGCACTCACCATGCAAGAGCCTTCCTTCACAGCACTCCCCATCCCAGCACCTCCCTTCCAAGCACTCCCCATACCAGCACCTCCCCTCACAGCACAACACTCCCCATCCCAGCACCTCCCCTCACAACACTCACCATCCCATCACCTCCCTTCCAAGCACTCCCCCTACCAGCACCTCTTCTCATAGCACTCACCATCGCAGCACCTCCCCTCAAGCACTCACCATCCCAGCACCTCCCCTCCAAGCACTCCCCATTCCAGTACCTCCACTCGCCTCATAGCACTCCCCATCCCAGCAGCTCCCCTCAAGCACTCACCATCCCAGCACCTCCCCTCACAGCACTCACCATCCCAGCACCTCCCCTCACAGCACTCACCATCCCAGCACCTCCCCTCACAGCACTCACCATCCCAGCACTCCCCATCCCTCGATCTCCCCTCACAGCACTTCCCATCCGAGCATCGCCCCTCACAGCACTCCCCATCCCAGCATCCCCCCTCACTGCACTTCTAGCAGCAAATCCTTTGATAGCACCAAGCCAATTGTAAGCGTTACCCTTTGCATAGCCGTTTGAGCGCCTTGATCATCTCGTGGTGCTTCTTGATCTGTGTGTCCACTTTATACTTATTCTATCTCCTATAGATTTGCTTCAGCAGCGTGCTATGCAGATGTTTGAAGAGGTTGGTGCTGTACTTGTGCACTTTCCCAACTCTATGAGTTCCAGGGATAAAAGACTCATCAGGTGTGTTTTGATGAGGTTCCACTTGGTTTTTTTCTTGGGGAAGGCAGCCTTGAGGAGTTCCACCAGCATGGGAGGTTGTTGGAGCATGAATGAAGTGGGCAATATAAGGATTATGGTGCATTGGAAACTTTACGAGTCGGGTGTTACCAGGAATCGCAAAGGCAGATAGTCGGTCTAGGGGGTATCCTAGCTGAGGTACCTTGCTGATTTATCTTGTAGTTCGGCGAGGCTTCTCTCGGTGTGAGAGGCGGCATTGCAGCAGAGATAACAGTCAAGGTATGCTCTGATTGCCTCCAGCTGGGGCAAGCTGACAACGTCAGCCACCAAAAAGATCAACACCTGGATGCATGGAGAGCCATGTGTAGGAAAAGTGAGAGATTGTCAACAACATGAAAACGTGGAAGGATACTCTTGTCACGAGGGAGTATAGGCAGGATATAGGTGAGCTTGACAACGTACCAACATAGCTATACAGTTGCATGAACTAACACACCAACGTACAATCCCCTCCCTTTCCCTGCACGCTCACATTATCCTCAATTCCCCCCTTCAATTTCTTACTCTCCCCTCCAATCTCTCTTCACTCTCACAACTCCCGTCCTTCTCTCCTCGCTCTTCTCACCCTCTCCCTCTCCCCTCACTCTTCCCACCCTCCTCATCTTTCCTCAATCTTCCCACCACTCTCCTCTCCCCTATCTCTTTCCTCCCTGCCCAGCTCGTCCCACTCTTCTCACCCTCCCCCTTCCCCCTCACTCTTCGGCATGTTATGCACCTCAAAGCATCATACCTGCATGACCTATCAGTGTTCAAAAGCTGCAACTTGTGCCCTGGTTTGAAAGTTTTCGCTTTTAAGGAAAAGCAGAGAGTTGATTCGTGTTTTCAGAGTGAGTCATAAAAGACGCATGCATACTGCGCGATGACCAGATTTCGGATGTGTGGGGCGGCAGATCAGGAGGGATGATTGTTGAGCTGAAGGACGACCATATGCAAACAGGTGTGCTTACAAATGTGGCCTTGATATGGCAACGAGTAGCCAAGGCTCGTCGTCTGGATCATCATTCATGTCCAGGCGAGTGGGCCAAGAGGCACTCACAAATTCAGAATCCTCATCATCTTTGCGTGTTGGATGCGGATGGATCGCACGATGTGGTCCAGCATCCCTAGGTCTGCCTGGTGCATGATGTATGCCATGACAGCTAGGAAAGGATTTCCCCACGACGATGCACCAACCTGCCACTTCCATAAAGCACACTGAAATGGTGGCACAGCACGGAATGTGATGGATAGGGGGGAGATGTGTCAGCTTTAAACACAACAAATACTCAGATCACACCATCAATGTGCAAAGAAGAGACATGGGAGGGTTTATGTAGAATACATACATCAATGTCGAATGTTGAATACAACTTCAACAGATTGTCATCGTGGCCGCCAGGGACTCCAGCTGCCGCGTCTCTAACCCACTGTTGTTGTGAAGGTGTGCGGAAGTTGTTGGGTAGCTCCACCGATGATAGGCTTTCCTGTGTAGATGAGCGGGTTTTAATGCACAAAACGATGAGCTTGATATATTCTAGTTGGCACGCAAGCAGGATGTGTATTGAAGAGGGATCTGTCACATCATTGTTAGCCTAAGGTGCATGATTACATACCATGTCCACGTAGTAGAGGCTGCATGGCTTCTTGCAACCCTGGCCAGATTTTGTACAAGTAAGCTTTCCCGAGTCTGGGGAGGCTGCAGGGCTCCTTTTGGCAGCTGCTGCTAAGTGCTACATGGTGGTAGCTGCTTTTGTTTGGCGGGCTCCATATGGTGGCTGTTGCTGCTGTTCGTTTGGAGGGAAAGGGGGGGAGGGAGTGGGGGGGGAGGAGAGGGGCTGCTGTTGCTGGGCAGGCTCCACGCGGCGACTGTTGCGGCTGATCTGCAGGCGGGGGCGGCTGCTGTTGCTGGGTGGGCTATGCAGTGACGGCCGTTGTTGCTAGAGGGCTCTGTGCAAGGGCAGTTGTGGCATGAGGGAAAGCGGAGGCGGCAGTTGGGGTCATGACGACATGAAGGCAGGCGGCGGTAGTCGGGGCTGCGGCGGTGTAAAGGCAAGCAGCGGCAGTTGGGGCTGCGGAGGCGTGAAGGCAGGGCGCCGGCAGCGAAGGTGACCACGGCGGCTTGAGGGCAAGTGTGAGAATTGAGGAATGAAATGACTAGGAAATGAGTTTGGTACAAATATGAAACCCTAACAAACTGTGCCCCATAGTGTCTACCCCACTACAGCCTAAACAGGCTATGTGATTAATGTTTGACACACCCCCATAGGCAAGGTGGGGGAGAACAAGGGGTCACAAGACCAGTCAAGCAAAGCAAAGCAAAGCAAGCTCAGGGTGGATCACAACGTCACCACACATTCCGAGCACAGGTTCAAAGGCCACAAGGCCAGTTCACATGCAAGGTTATATATAAAGGTAAACAAGCAAGTGCAGGTATATATAGATCACAGTACAAATAAAGTCAAGAGGTAAGCAAGTGAGGCCAAGTAGGCACAAGACCTAGCATAGTACAGAAGCGCTGATGATCACAAGGCTGAAGCGCCTTGGTGAAGATATCAGCAGTGTTGGCCTGAGAGGCCACGTAAGCAAGGTGCAGCTGACCACGCTGCTGCAGCTCACGAGCAAGGAAGTAGCGAAGAGCAATGTGCTTCGTTCTGTGCTCCAGTCTGTGCTCCCGACACAAGGCCAGCATGGCCTTGTTGTCTACGTACAGAACTGGAGGAGAACGAGGCGGCTCTCCCAGGTCAGTTAGCAGGTAGGTGAGCCAGCGTAACTCCTGTGCAGCCATGGCTCCTGCGTAGATCTCAGCCTCACAGCTGGAGCTGAGAACAGAAGACGAGCGGGTAGACCGCCACGAAACAGAGCCGGAACCAAGGCTGAAGGTGTAACCCTGTGAAGACCGCTGAGTAGCCAGGTCGTCAACCCAAGACGCGTCTGCGTGACCAGTGAGGACCACTGGACTCCGCCCTCCAAGCACGAGCCCCATGCCCGACGTACTGCACAGGTAGCGCAACACCCTCTTCGCGGCAGCCATGTGCTCTGGTCGGTGTCTCCCAGGAGCAACATAGCGAGCCAAGATGCTAAGAGGGTATGCCAGGTCAGGTCGAGTGCAGGTCATCAGGTACATGAGGCAGCCAACAAGCTCTGGGTACGGGCCACTCGGCTCTACGGACTCATCCGAAGGCAGAGCTGAGAGCGAGTGGCGAGTAGACAGAGGAGTGGCCTGAGGCGAGGAGTACGTGAAGTCGAAGCGCTGAAGGACCTGCTGCACCATGTGTGACTGAGTCAGGGTAATGGTGCGCCGTGCTCTGTCCTGGGTGATCTGCAAGCCAAGATAGCTGCGCAGTTCACCCAGGTCTGTGCACGTGTGTCTCTTCTGCAGCTCGGACTTCACGTGGGCGAGTCCAGCAGTGTCAGCTGTAGCAAACACCAAGTCGTCGACGTACACGAGGATGTAGAACGGCGGCAGTAAGGTGTCGGTGCGAAGAAACAGCGACGGGTCAGCAGTGGAAGGAGCAAACCCAAGAGCCGCAAGAGTAGTCCTCAGTGTGTCGTGCCACTCACGTGGCGCCTGGCGGAGACCGTAGACTGGCCGCGGGAGGCTCCACTGGGTACCAGGAGGAAACGACCCAGTGAAGCCAGGTGGGCGGCGCAGCCAGATCTCCTCGTGCAGACTGCCCTGTAGGAAAGCAGTGCTGAAGTCAAGGGAGTGAAGCTCGTAGTCACGCTGAGCAGCAACGTGCAGCAGAACCCGAAGAGTGGTCATCTTCGGGGTCGGGGAGAAGGTCTGAAAGTAGTCAACTCCCTGCCGCTGACTGAAGCCTCGAGCCACGTAACGCGCCTTGAAGACAGGCGGAGAACCCGGCGGCCGCTTCACCCTGAAAATCCACATGCCACTGACGATGTTCGCCCCAGGTGGGGGAACCTCGTCGACGTAGGTGCCTGTGGACTTCCAGGAAGCCATCTCTGCGTCCATGGCTGCCTGCCACTGAGAGGAGTAGGGACCCTCTATCGCCTCTGCGTAAGAGCGCGGGGTCGGGATGTCTGGTGCATCCGGGTCTCCCTCAGGGGCAAGTAGCAAAGACACGAGATGATGTAAAGCAGCTGCAAAACACTGGAACTCCTCCTGCCTGTCCTCAAGGACGTCCGTGCTAAGAGCACACTCACCCCCGACGGACGGAGGACAGACAGACGCAGACTCAGCAACAAGACTAGCGGCGTAGTCTAGACGACAGGGAGCAGCGAAGTCGACAAGCTCGGCAACTAAGGCAGACGCAGCAGTGGACTCAAAGGAAGGGTCAGTGATAGCAGTGGCTAGGAAACACGTGACAGTAGGACTGGCAGCACGAAGGGAGTCAGACGCCGGGTCAGCAAGAGCAGGAAGATAGGACTCTGGAGGAGACGGCAAAGGGACACGCTGTGGCGCAGTGGAAGGACGCAGTGCCATCTGATGCGTGCCCGGGACCGTAGGAGGACGCTGACGTGGAACTCGACGACTAGTGCGAGCAGTGGGAACAGGTGACGCAGGACGCGACTCAGGCTCACGACGCTCAGCAAGACCTCCAGTAGGACCAGCGTAGGGAGAAGGAGCAGGGAGAGGGGAGGCCAGTTGTAACTGTGACTCGGACTGGACAGGCGGTGGACACTCTAAGGAAGGAGCAGGACTAGAAGAAGGCGGA